TCTTATAACTGAATTCTCCCAGCTGCAGTTTACATCTCTTTACTCCTGTCTTTGTTGCCACTTATAAAAACGAAGAATTTCTCAGTGAATAATTACTATACTTCTGAGAGGCCTCTGACATTAACCCCTTAATATAATAGAATTCTTTTCTCTCCTTTCAGAATAGTCCAGACCAAACATACAGACTCAGAATACTCAGGAATCATGAGACAACTCAAATCTACAAATCTAGCAGCACTCGTTGATAGAAACTCCTTGTCCCTCGGCCTCAGTTAACCTGGCACATGTATTTAATATGACATTAAATCAAACTGAAAATATTCCTTCTGAGAATGGCATTCATTCCAGCAAATAGAAAGGTTTTCTGTCATATGTCACTAATAGATAGGTTGACTTTGTTCTACTTAATACTTTGTAAGATGGTGAAGAAAATCAAATACAGATTTCTATAACAATTAATTTTGACGCCTCAGAAATATCTAAACTTCATCATCAGTTTTGCTAACTGACACCTCTTCCACGTGTACCACTGTAAATAAATACTTAAATCACTATCCTGATGAATCCTGCAGAGAATCTCTCTTCCTCCTCTCTTCCTGATGGAATCCTGCTTCGATTTTAAGATCCAAATTAAAGGACGCATCCTACAAAAACTGTCTCCATATGGAACTCCTCATAAGTAATCAATACTTCCCTTTTCACCAAGAACATGTTGCTTATATTTCTAGTAACATATTTATTTCATTCTACCTTACAACATGTTTATAAGCCTCCAACTTAAACAACATTTGCTCAGTAGCAGATTCAAGTGGTCATTATGTCTAAATACACTGGACAGCACTTAATATAACTTCTTACACACACGAAGCAAGATATTCACAAATATCTTCTCTGTTAGAAAAGTCTGGGCCTTCAAAATACTTTTTTTTCATTTATGGTTATAAGAAAGAGGTTTAAAATGTGCTTCCTCTTTCTCTCCCACCAAATCAGCTACTTCCTGACTTCTTATTTCTTCCAATGGCAAAACCACTGAGACCCTCCAGTCTCCTGTGATTCCTCTCTCTCTCTCTCACCTACATTGTCTTGTGCTAAATCCTCCACAGTATCTTTTGCATTTGTTGCCAGTGTTACAATTCTGCCAGCAAGGTCCTTCTTCGGTCCTTCTTTTCCTTTTACGGGGAATGTATCAGTAGATCCCTAACTGGACACATTCCCACAGTCAATACTAAGATAGTATCTAATAAGAGTTTGAAAATACATGAAGCAAAAAGCAAACTAAGACAAAAAAACGAAAAGTCACAGTGATAGCTGGATATTTTAACAATCTTCTCTGTTATTAACAGAAGTAAACAAAAAATGTATAGGGATATAGAAATCACTAGGGATATAGAATATTATAAAACAATTTGGCATGTGACATTTATAGAACATTTTATAATAAATGCAG